TGATCAATACAACAAAATTGCTTCATTAAGCCAGTGTTGTTTTGGTGACTATAGTGCCACTTTAAAATTTAAAATTGTGTGAAGAGTATAGCCTCTTTTTCATTTTACAAAACGTGTAGATTTCAGTAGAGATTGACACATTTGTAAATTAAAGTTGTTACACCCCCCAGCTGTCAATCAGAGAAAAGGTACATGCTGGTTGTTAAGCTCAATGGAGCAAAACTCAAGAGGCAGGCCCAGTACACCTGCCCTGCAAAGACTTTTAATTGAGCTGCAAATGCTTTAGACAAGATATATGCAAAAAAATTTAGCATTTCAATTAAATGCATGTATGTTTTCATTGGGAGAAAATATACTAAACATTGATTTTTACATTTTTTTTGTTTGCATTTGGGCAGTAGAGTATTCCTTCAAGGTCAAAATAGCTGAACCAAAAAAAATCATCTAATTCAACTATTCTTCTAGTTCAGCTACTGTACCCTTACATTTTACATTCACTTTGAATTCTTACTTAAGTGAAAATCCCTATTTGTTTTTAATATAGTAGTGAAGGAAAACTAAATTGCCAAATTCAGTTTAAAAAAGCCATTTTGTTACTTTAACTGAGTTGATTTTTTTTCTAAATTAATTCCCATTGAACAAAAATCAAAATTAGTTTATTGAATTCACTCACATTCTCATCCATTCACATAGTTATGTGTTTAGTGAATGAATCCTGAAGTTTCTGAGTTATGTAAATGGTAGCAAAATATAATTTACCATTAGTATTTACTACATAAACAAAACAAAATAATTTATGGAAAATGTATGAACATTCAATATTTCTCCATTTAATCACTACTAAATAATAGAACAACATGGATGAGAGATCAGATTTAGCATCAACAATTTAAAAAAAAAAATATTGGTTAATTTTCTACACACGACTCAATAAGAGTTGAACAGCTGCTGTTTTATTTTAATTTAGTTTAATGAATATTTAATGAAAGTTTAACATCACTCACATATAAAAAAATATTGAGTTCTCATTAAAATAAACTAGATTTTATTCATTCTGTGTTGTTAAAGGGTTTCTCCAATCACCATGACCACTTCTGCTTTTTTCAAGTGATAATGGTGGTAGTCTTGATGTGCAGTGTTTCAGCTTGAAGCACTGTACATAGAGATACTTTAAATTATGTGCTGAGGGCTATTATATCCTCGGCACACATGACTTGGATAGTGTGCATAATGTCAATTTTGTGCATAATGGTATGAGAGCTATTGAGGTACAAAAAGGAATCTCACTGCAATGTTTATATTGTAAAATTCATTTTCAAGATTTGATTTGATCGGTTTGTGATCAAGAAAGTTTGTTATCATTTTCATATTTTTGTGGAAATTAATGCACATAGGAGCAACTTATGAACATGTAAATTCAAATTAATAACTTACAGGGTTATTCACTAAACACGATTGGACAAAATCCAGTAAAAATAACCAGATTCTGACCTCAATGGCAATTGTCATATTTAACAAAGCCAAATATGGTCAGAATTCAGTCAGCACAAGCGAACTTAGAGCCATTTCACAAATGCATTCCGAGTCCGGATTCAAACCAGTACTTTGTGAATCTTCAGAATCCTGTAGTTATCCTATTTTTGTAAGTGAATGATAACTTTAAAAACTATAATAGTTAAACCAATGGCGTCGCAAGGGTTAATTATGTGATGTCTAGCCAGATGCATAATTAAAAATGTAAATTAATTAAATAAAATATAGTAAAAAAATAAAACCCCAGGGGGTCAACACGATACCCATATTACTATAAAGGATATTTCAAACCACCCTGTGCCTCCACCTTCCCTTTGGCAGGCAGGGCAATAGTCACTATGTGTTTAAATGAGTGGCTGAGTAGCCATTGTCCAGTAGTGACATTTATGGCAAATATTTTTATTTATACAGCTGTTATAAACATACTTCTTAAAAAATATATATATATTTACAGTTAACATTAAATTAATGTGTTAATCAATAAAGCTTTAAGTGATATTTTAGAATTAGAAACAGCACATTTTCTTAAAATTAAACATAGCATGACCAGTCATAATTGCTCAGATTTTAAAATGAAAAATTTTAGTGAAAAACAAAGGTTTCATTTTTAAACCGATCTTACAGCACAGTGGAATTCCCTTATTGAACTTTTTTCTTCATAGTTTTTGTTATAGTAAATTCCCTCAGTTTCCACTAGTGAGAGAAAGATCTACATATCAAGACCACTTCGTCAATCTAAAGTTGGTTTGTGCTTTGAAACATGAATGCCAAGTCTGAGGCAAAACTAGCAAAGCTGTAGCTTTAGCGAGTTGGGGATTTTTTTTAGATTGTCTAGTTTTGACCACACTCATATTTAATAAGCAAAAATTCTAAGGGAACCTTTTCAGCCTTATTCACTAAACTCCAGCCTTATCCAGAAAGGCAAAGTGCTGTTGTCACTAAGTAAATTGTACCATTTTGATTCCAATTCGCTATGATTCATTTTAGTGAATCTCAAGCAAGTTTATTAGTAGCTATAAAATTAAAGTATGTCCCTTTGAAATTACATACTTATTTAAAAAACAGCTCATCTCTATTTTGGAATATAACATAAAGATCAGAAATTGAATGATGTATTTATATAAAAAAGAAATCAAAAAATCAAAAACTTGGTAAATTGCTATAAGGTAAATAACACAAAGCAACCACATTTTGTTTAAAACTAGCATAGTCTCTCATCTGTTATCAGAATTTCCCTTGAGATATTTACAGCTGAAATTGACTGTATTACAGATAATTATATGCACCAACATTATGACTTCAAAAATTGCATTATGAATAACTATCAAATTAACTACAAGATGTTAATACTTAAGATATGTGAGGCTTTTGTTAGACTATGGGATGTGTTTGGGATAACAGGAACTACTTGTTCTTATGTGTAAGATATTATTACATTACATAGACTTCTTTGTATGTTTCCTAAATGTGTATGTATGTTTATTTATAAAGAATATAATAAAGATTATTGATTTAACTAATTTCTATTGACTAAAAAGATTTATTTTTATAGTTTGTGAACCTGCTTTAAATATAAAAAGAAGAGAACTGCTGCTCCAATTATTTGTGCTATAAATTAACCCTTTGCAGTCCAATACATTTTCTGCAGTTCCTATTTATTTTTCAGGAGAAAAAAAACACATACTTTAAATTTTATATATTTTATTATAACTACAAAGCAATTACAAATTACTACTCTAAAGTCTTAAAATTTATGTTAGTCTTTATATTTTTTCATTGTATGAAACTTTTCAAAACATACACCTGGGTGTAAGCCAGGTTTTTTGGTCAAGTTTCATAGAAGTAGGCAGTATCTAATCTTTGACCTTTGATTTTTCTGCACAATCTTTCAAACTGTTCTTTTTATTTTTCGAAGTGGAGTTTACCATCTAGCCTGTCTTCAGTGTCTTGTGTTGATGGCCTACCCTGTTTTCATTATTTGGCATTTAGAACTTGCCCAAAGAGCTGCTCAATTAATGCCATTCAAAATGTTTTGTGTGTGACTACCTTCACGTTTCTCTGCTTACATTGTAGCAGCCAAAAGAACATTTTCCTCTACCATTTCATGGACAGTGGCACAAAGGCATAACTGCTCTGTCCCCTGCACCCATGTAGAAGATGTATTCAGAAATAACTGCTGGTTTTAGAAATGATACTTATTTGCCTTTGGCAACTATTCATTGAATTTCTTCTGTGTCTGCAGTGTACACCGTTGAACACACGAATACAATTATTTTATATTCCCATTGCAGGACCATGATTTTATTATCCTTTTGGTATGTATGGACCTTGTGCACTTTTATTGTTTTGCTCTTCATTTCCTGCAAACCTTGGTGATTGGTCATAACAGTGCAAGCGGTGTGTGTCCCAATGCCCAATAGTTCTTTGCAAAGTTTAGGTCCTGTGTAAAATCTGTCTGTAAACACATGATAACCTGTTCTTTAAGACACTAAAAGTGACATATTGCACAAATTCTTCTCATAAATGGAAGGTCAGGGTGAAGGTCAGGGCGAACTTAACTCTCTGTATTAGTTTTGCAGTAGTAGTTTTGCCAAAATATGGAACCCATTTCACTATCACATAAGCAATTTGCTCTAAGTGCCCATTTAGTGGGTTTCTGTGGATTGTAACATTTCCACTGTAGGCTATATCCATCCAAGATATAACTAGTTCACTGCACGTTTGGTTTATGTAGTCTGCCACCAAACTAGCCATGATAGGCCTCTGCAGTGGTGCAGGGCACAAAGGGAGCATACAGAAAATGTGTAAGTATCTATTTCTATAAAACACAGCAGTAAAGAAGGGCATATGACTCAGCCAATGTTGGTAGAAAAACTCTTTCAACTCTGATTTTGAATTTAGAGCCATATTTATTATAACACCCAGAAAGGCTTTTATTTCAGTCAAATTCACCTCCTTCCAAGTATTCCAATGGAATATTTTTTCTGTGGCATATCTGTTCATTTCAGTGACAATTTGATTCAGTAGCTGGTCAAGAAAAAAACTGACAAAAAAATCAATTTCCTTTTCACACGTACCATTTGGGACTTGAATTCCTAATTTGGGAACTATAAAAAGGGTGTCTTGGAAAATTAGGACCATTAGTAAGGTATATTTCCCAATAATGTATTATATTTGTCACATTTTTAGCAGGGATGTCTTTATCCTCATCATTTTTATTTTCATCCTCAACATTTTCATTACTGAAATTTATATCTTCTGTGTCACTTGAATCCAAATTACTGGGGTTATAATCATCTTCATCACTGAGATCATAGTTAGAATCACTCTGTTCTAATATTTCGGGTAATTCTTCCTCAGTAGTGATGTCCCGAACGGTTTGCCAAACGGTTCGCGAACGGTTCGCCACGAACTGTTCGCCACGGACTCATCATTGAGTAAACTTTGACCCTGTACCTCACAGTCAGCAGACACATTCCAGCCAATCAGCAGCAGACCCTCCCTCCCAGACCCTCCCACCTCCTGGACAGCATCCATTTTGAAGCTGCATTCTTAGTGAGCTGTCCAGGAGATGGGAGGAGATGGAAGGATCTGGGAGGGAGGGTCTGCTGCTGATTGGCTGGAATGTGTCTGCTGACTGTGAGGTACAGGGTCAAAGTTTACTCAATGGTGAGTCCGCGGCGAACCGTTCGTGGCGAACCGTTCGGGACATCACTATTCCTTTGCATAAAACTTTTGGCGTGCCATTTCTTTAAATTACGCATATAAATTCAAATTCGCTTTGCACATGCATGCTGTTCGCCTCACTTGCATTTGCTCGCAATAGCACACATGTGAATGCATGCAAATATGATTGTCTGTCAATCCACCCATTGTATTGAATATGCGTGTCTGTCAGTCCACCCATTGTACAGCACGTAGGAACCTGTTGGTGCTTTATAAATAATAATAATAATTGATGCGAACAGGCACATTCATGCACATTCGGCTGTGCTTTTCAGGGAATATCTGTAGTTGGACTGCAAGATGTGAAATATGTTGTCGGATATATTCCGACATTGTACTGGAAAGGGTTAATATAGGAATGCAGTTTCACAAAAATTGGCCCCAGAATATAAAAATCACGTTTATATGCAGTCCATTGACCATGTTTGTTATTTATACTAATGTACTATTATGCAATTGTATCTATCTGTCTTTAAAACCTGTACGTGGGGTGTACTGTTGTACTCATGAGACATCACTGAACATAAATATGTGTATTTTATTGCAGTAAAAGCTGACAGTACTATGATATTCATAGTTAAAATGCAATTCAAAACTTTGAAAATAACATTTCTTAATATCTCACACTTTTTTAGATTTTAGTCATGCCAAATTTTGTTTCATATATAAATATTTGATGTGAAATTAAAACTTTATTTCTGAACAAAATGATATATATTGTAGTAAGTGTGGGGGTACTTATATTAAATAGGTAAATTATGATCGAATAGACATTTAGCTTAAATTCTAGGGTTTGACTTGGTTTAGAACTTGGACAATTGACTCAGTTTTAAACTATTTAAACTCCAGTGGACCATAGCCAGATGACCTCCACAAAATAAACTATAATCTTAGTTCATCCATAATGACATTACAGTATTATATTTTTTTATAGATTGAGAACATGCATTATAGGTGAGTTGAAATTACAGTTTAGTGGAAAGATTTGTGGCAGAAACTGCCCTCAGGCTCTTATGCCAGAATCTTAATCCATTGAGAGCTGAGAAGGATAAATGTGAAAAAATAAATAAAATGTGTTCCTCTTCTTTAATGCAGTAAATAACATGTATTATTATTAACATTTGATTGCTAGTAAAACGTGGATTTAGAGTTAAGGAAATGGTGATTATCATACAGCGCTACGGAATTTGCTAGCGCTATATAAATAATAAAATAATTATAAAATAATAATAATCATAGTACATATAATACAATAAATACGCTTCATACAGCAGGTTGGTGCATTTTCAAAGTGAATGTAAGAGTTTCTAAATTTATCATTATGATGATTCACAAAAGTTAAATTCTAAGTGCGGAATGTCAATTATAAACTATACGACAACAAAAATAATACTTTCTTATTAGTACAGCTTTTTATAATTGAATATTTTCATTTATTGTACCTTTACGCATGAGATAGTATCACATAGTTACTTACACATTGCAAATACTAACATCTGTCTGATATCTCTATCTTTTCATTACTTAGCAAACCTGCATGTAAATACTTAATGTTCTAGCACCCTTCGTGGAACCTTATATGATAAAGCAAGTATTATATATATTTTTTATGTGACAATAGTTTAATACCTGCTTAATGTTCAGTTATCGCCTGTATATCCAACTGAGACAGCTGTTTCCAGTCATAGTCACTGCTAGGTAAAATGGCATAATTAGCTACTAATTATATAATTATATCATGCAGGCATGCAGTTCTTCCTACATGCATAATTCCTGTTTAAATTGAGAATTGCTATTCATGTAAGCTGTCCATCACCACATGTGGCCTAATGCTTATTCCGAGTTGTAAAGATTAGCATTATGGAGCCATAATTACGTTTTTTAAAATTTTTATAACACAGAAAATGTTCTTTTTTTCCCCGTTTTTTTTTAATAGTCCTGGGCATTCTTTGTACATTTAGAGAACCTCAAATCTAAGGCATTCACTTTGAAATAAATATTTCAAATTACAGTATTCAATTATATATGCAACTGTGCAGACAACCGTTAAAATACATTCAAATAGGAGACTTTATGGTTCAGTAATAGTAAACACATTAAGAGATAAAAGCATGAAAAGAGCTGGTTACATATAGTACAAATGTGTTACATAGATAACGTATTCAGAGATGGAGATGAGAAGCAGGGGAAGTGATAACAACCACTGACAGGTGAAGTGAATAACATTGATTATATCATTACAATGGCACCTGTCAATGGGTGGAAAATATAAGGCAGCAAGTGAACAATCCATACACTTCATGTGTTGGAAGAAGGAAAAATGAGCAAGCAAAAAGATATGAGTGACTTTGACATGGGCCAAATAGTGATGGATAGACAACTGGGTCAAAGTATCTCCAAAATGAATGAAGTGGTTAGTACCTACTAAAATAGGTGTAAGGAAGGACAACCGGTGTACCAGCCTCAGGACCATGAGTGTCCAAGGCTCATTGATGCACATTGGGGAGCGAATGCTAGCATATCTGGTCCAGTCACACAGAAGAGCAACTGTAGCTCAAATGACTTAAAAAAATAATTCTGGCCATGATGAAGTTTTCAAAAACTCACAGTGCATCACAATTTCATGTGTAGGGGGCTGTGTAGCTGCAGACCAGAGTGCCCATTATGACCCTTGTCCACTGCCAAAGGCACCTTCAATGGGGACATGGACGTCAGAACTGGACCGTGGAGCAATGGAATAGGTTGCCTGGCCTGTTGAATCATGTTTTCTTTGAGATTCGGTTCATGACCGGGTGTGTGCGTTGTTTAACTGGGAAAGAGATGGCAGCAGGATGAACTATAGGAAGGCAGGGCTATACTCTGGGCAATGTTCTGCTGGGAAACCTTGGATCATTCATTTGGTCTTAACATTTATGTGGATTTTACTTTGACACTTATCACCTACCTAAAGATTGTTGCAGACCAAGTACACTCCTTCATGGCAATAGTGTTCCTTGATGGCAGTGGTCTCTTTCAGTAGGCTAATGCTCCCTGCCACACTGCAAAAATCATTCAGAAATGGTTTGAGGAGCATGATAAAGAGTTCAAGGTGTTGTCTTGACCTCCAAGCTAACCAGATCTCAATCTGATTGGGCATCTGTGGGATGTGCTGGAACAACAAATCCGTGGCCCCACCTCACATCTTGCACTAAAACGATCTGCTGCTAATGTCTTGGTGCCAGATATCACACGACCCTTTCAGAGATCTTGTGGAGTCCATGCCTGTATCTTGTTTATTGACTGCTATGATTACATTCACTGCTTTGGAGTCTTTTCAACAAAGTAAACCCTATTTATTACACCGTGAGAAGGGTGGTGGTGGGATGTACACATCTAATTTTATCCTATATAGCCCACACCAAGGCCTCCGACAGTTATCCATGTTTGGTTCTCTAATTTGATAGAAGACCACAATGTTCATAGAAATCTTTTTGGTCCTTTCTTTTATATTCCTTTCTGCTTATAAATAAACTGACCCCTGTACATGCACTGCTGATGTTGCTAAAAAACTAATTGCTAGCACATTACAACAATGTAATAACAGTACTTAGTAACATAACAGTTCTATAAAAAAAAGCAGTGCACATATTCTCTGCTATAAAATATAACCATCTTGCCTCTAGCTATTGGTAAAGGAATTGCATTTATTCTTTATCACTATCACAGAGGGCCAAATGATCACTCATACGCACATACACCAGCCAAGGGGAAAATATGTTTTTCAATACCTACAGTATATTCAAATATTCACATGCACCTCAAAGTGAATTCACATTCCAAAGTAAATCTAGACACTATGCTGCTCAAGCAGTCTGTTTTATATTTGGATTTAGTACAAAATTGGAAATTTAAATTCAATGAACCCTACTAAGACTAATTATAAAATGCATAACAACCCTAAGCCTTAATTATTGTGAAAGGTAGCAAGGCTTTAAATATCATATATAAATTGAATGTTGCAATTCTGTATTTTTAAGTAATGCAAATATTCAGACATTCTAAGAGCATTTTTAAATGGAAATTCTCCCACAGCTTAAAATTAAAAGACATAAAGCTTTCACACTTCCTTAAATTTTATCTCAATTTACATTAGTGAAATGATAATTGCTGCTTCAATTATACCAGCAGAGCACTGATAACTGCACATGATGCCTGTGTGTCTTAAATACATTCAAATGAATGTGTTCACTGTGCCCTGAAGTAAATAAGTATTACACAGGTAGTTTTTTTATTTATTTTATTTTTACAACAAACCATGTTTATGCAGCTATGTCGTGCTGTGAAGATTAATTAAATGTATACTGAGAGCAAATAACAATGTATTACAACACAGAGACACAATAATAACCTACCAAATAAACAGGATTTGAGAGAAAACAAGGTTCCAGGAATTGTTATTTCTGTCAAAAAAAAAGATAAACGTGGAAAGGTAAAAGAAAGGTAAAAGAATAGAAATTGAAGGAAGGGAAAGAGTTAAGTTAAATCACATAAACATACACATGCGCACACAGAGACACAAACACACACAAGCCGTTAGCCAATGTAACATATGAATACAACTGCAAACCATTGCACATATTGGAGGCAACATGGCTGCATGAAAATAGCAGTAAGCATTTGCTAAGGACTAGACGTTATCCAATACATCAATACTGAGGCCCCTCCTTGATTTATTTATTTATTTTTTAGAAGTGTTTTGTGGAACTAGAAAAATAGCAGAGAATAGCTATAATTTTTTTTTTTTATATGTATAAAATTAATGGGAGGAATGGAATTTTTTTATTAAGAAGAAAACCTGAACTTGTTTACTTTAGAATAATGGTATCAATCCCCTTCAGTATCATAAATATTTGAATCACCTATTTTATC